CTGACTACTACGTTAGGTAATGCGTTCCATGGGTGAGCGACGCGGTTGTTGAAGGAATTATAGCGAACGAGGCAGTTGTTGTCCATTTCACGATTAAAGCACTTGCGATGACCGTAGCTAGGTGGGATGTTGGGTGGATCTATATGCCAGCTAATTGAGTCGATACTGTTTTCGAATTTATATTTTTGAATGAGGTCGCCGCGTAAACGTCTATTTAATAGAGAGGTGAGACCGAGTTTGATGCATCTTGTCTCGTAATCGAAGCGCTTTATTTCGTGCGGTACTTTGGTAACCCGATGCTGAACACGTTCTATGACATTTATGTCTTTTTCAAGATGCAGGCACCAGGCAGTAACTGCAAACTCGAGATGTGGGGGTATATAAGTGGTGTAAAGTTTTTTTCCATATTTTGGTATCTCTGCTTATAAACGTGTTTTTCAATGTCCCGAGGACTTTATTAGCCTTGGCAGCGGCTATTTTTGCTTGCCTCTCATATTTTAAGTCGTTGGAAATTTGAACGCCTAGACCTTTTTCGGATGTTGAAGACTCGATTACTGTTCTAGTGACGCTACCGTTAGTGTCGTACTCGTTCATTAAATAAATGTGTGAGGAAACATTGTACTTACTGAAATGCATGACTTTGCATTTCTTGATGTTGAGTTCCATTAACCAGGTTCGAGTCCAAAACTGGCTGTTAAGTATATTGGCTATGGATGCGTGGTCGCTAGTTATTTCCCCAGCGGGTGAGCACATAGAAGTTATCTGGTTACTGACGGAGCGTTTGTTGTTAACATAAGCGTATAGACGCTTAGGGTTCCGTTTGTCGCTAGCTAATTTGTGTTCAAATGCTCTAATTGCAGTGCAGGAAGCTTTTTTGACAAGGTTTCGAGTTTGGTTATACTCTTTGGCAAGAGGAATGATTCGCCATTTGCTGTTGCGGTTGAGGTACCAAAGTTTTTTCTTACGTTTAATTAGTAAAAAAAGTTCGCTGGTTAGCCAAGGCTGCCTGTGTTTGGCCGGGAAAGTTGAAGTCACCGGTGATTATTAGACTATTAAACTTTTTGTTTTCTACGGTCAATTTTGCGTAGGTGATAGCTTTTACTATTTCGTTAAAGGCCAGAACATTATTGGTAGCTGGGCGATAGATGCAGCCGATTAGGAGAGATTCTTGTGGGAGTTTAAGTTTGAGCTAGATCTGTTCTGAGAAATTGCATTGGAAACCGATGTGAAGTTGAGAGTAGTCAATTTCGTTGGCAATAATGCTGTTCTTGACATATATGGCTACTCCTCCACGACTAGAGCGATCTTTTCTTAAGAGATTGTAGTTGGGAATAGCTGGTGCTGAGGATTCGTCAAACCATGTTTCAGTGATAAAAATGGTGTCATAATTATAGAGGGACGTTGTTAGTTCAAGTTATGTGAGTTTATTAGGATTTAGAGATGTGGCGTTTGCATAGAAGCAGTTTAGTAACAATTTAGAAGCATTGCTTTGTGAAGTGGGAGAAGACAAATTATTAATTATATGGAAATGGTCATGAGTTGAATGTTGCGACTTCTCATTGGTTGGTTTGGGCTGCCGCAAGCGCTCCTTTTCAGTTGATGAACGGGTGTTTTTCCAAGCCATTGATGTTGACTTTTTTGCTAACGTCGATGCATTTGACTCTGTCGCTGCGGATAACAAAACGAAAGGGCTGATCAAGTTTACCGTTTGCTTTAAGGCCATTGTTGAGCTTTAACTTTTCGTTGTTCAACTTGTTAAAAAGATCTTGCTCTGAAGGAGTTCTGTCTGGCCGTATGAAGACACTTTTGTATGATTCATTGGTGGCAAGGTTTTTTGCGATAGCTAGAAGAACGTTGCGAGTTTCATTGGTTGCGAATTCGATAAGAGACGGTGGAGCTGGTTGAATGGGGACAGTGACAGTAGAAAAAGTAGATATGCTAGTGTTTGGCGGCGATTTGTTATGTTTGTTAGAAATAGCGGCAGGAATGCGTCCTACAACTTTGAAGGAAGCAGAGTAATCTACGTATTGTAATATATCCTTTACCGATTGATCGACGACGGAAGCATTGGTACTGGCTGCGTTGGGAATTCCGGTGATTATGGCTCTCTTAGCTTTTGACTGTTGAAGCTTGGCGTTTATGTTCACGGCATTTAAGATGGCATTGTTTGTGGCTGATCCGGGTTTGGTAAGTTGCGAAGCAAAAGATTTTAGGATTGGCTGAGAAACGGAAAGATAAACTGCCGGTGGTAGGCAGTTAGTAAGTTGAATTTGCAAGTTGGTGTTGGTTTTTTCGAGGGCTGCTACTTTTTCAAGCAGTAATTTGACTGTTGTAGCTAGAGAGCGGATCATGGCGTCACATTTTTTAGGTAAATAAGTAGCCTTGCCTTTTCCAGGACCCGGCCAATTTTCAAGCAGGTCTATTGGGTTTAAAGAAGGTGAAATGGACAATTTTTATTTCGTTGGCGGACATTTAGGAATGTTGAGGATCTAATTAAATGACTGAATATTGGATTTGAGGTATAGGCTTCGGATAAGTGTTGTGGTTAAATAACAAATTTGGTTATTAAGTTGGTGGATAGTTGAAAAGATATTTTATATATAATTTTTGTATATATATATAAATAATACTTATATGTATTTATATATAACAACAGTTTTTCCGTATATATAATTATATATATTATTAATGATTGTCACAATCACACACACACAAATTATTTTTATGTTCAAAAATTAATCCGAAAACAACAAACAGATTAAGTATCCAGGTGCAACGCTACTATAAAAAAAAGAAACTACGAAGAAATTTGAAAAACTTTTAAAATAAAATAAAAATGAAATAATTAAAATAGGTTTTCAAGAAACAAGTTAAAAACTTGTTACTTTAATATATAAGCGCAAATCAAATCTTCGAATAATAAATTTTATTTATAATATAGTCATATATTTATATATAAATATAGATGAGAGCAATAAAAATAAAATAAAAATAAAATAAAAATAAAAACACTATATATTTAGTTACTATATAGTTAGTTCGAGGCGATTGACTTTAGTCGATATAATATATTATAATATAGTATAAGGTAATGAATATTAATGTGTATTTAGAAGAAGAAAAATAGTAAGAAGGAAAGAAAATGTTAAAAGAAAAAAACAAAATAAAAAAAAAATAGCTCAAAAACTTACGACAAAATAAAAAGCGTCTTATCTATTCGAGAAAAAAAAAAAAAAAAAAACAAAATGCGCAAACGTTGTTACCCATTGTTGCAATGAAACTTTCATTTGAATAATGAATATTAAGAGTAAGCTCAAACAAAAACGAAAACTTGATAAAGACAAATTGGATAAAGAGCAGCATGATGAAAATGCAAAAGCAATAAAAGTTGCAAAAGAACCTTTTATTATAGATTCGGAAAAAAGAATCGAAAACAAAAAGTTTTAACCTTATTATTACTACCTACTAAGCTTTCTCAAAGATAAAATAAATTGTAAACTATTTGTTTATTTGTTTTTTAAATATAAAACAAATAACTTATATAACATGTTTCTTTTTAACAACACGATTGATATATTTTTAATCAATTTTTTTTGGGGGGACGAAATAGTGACATAAAATGCTTTTATCTCCTTAATTAACGAAAGAAACTATTTGATTTTTATTTTAGGATAAAACAACGTTCATATGCTTTATTTTGACATCTTAAAATCATTATGTTAAATTACATAATAATGAGAAACAAATAAAAATGTCAATAGATCTTAGATTATAGGACAGAATAAAATGACGTTTGCCTATTCGTACTAGAATAAAGTTAAATTTATTTGTACTTAGTGAAGCAAAATATGAAAAACGCGACTCATGCTGTTGAAATACCTTCTTTTTTTTTACGCAATAAACCATAGATAAACTAAAGCTTCAGCATGCTGTCCATAATGTGCATAGAAAATACTGAAGTCTATTGTTTTCTATTGATTTTCCACCAATAATTACAGAGTTAAGTATAGCAAACATTTTTGTAGCAGTTGAACTATTTTTCTTGCAATACAAATTGTTACTGGAAACAATATTACTATTTTTTGCGTTAATATCGCAAGGCTAAGGTCCTTGACAACAAAAATAGCAGGTGACACCTATCACCTCACAATTAAAAACTATTACTCTCGAGTCCTTAATACAAAGGGGGGGGGGGGAGGAGAGGGAGGGAGAAGGAAGGAGAATAAAAAAGGAGGGATGAGTGGGAACTTTAGTACAGATCGAATAAACTGTGTGTGTGTGTGTGTGTGTGTGAGCGTGTCCTCATAAGCTTGGGTTGGGTGGGAAAAATTTCCAAAAATTAATAAACGTCCCCCCCACCCTTTTATTAAGGACTTAAGAGTAAAAGTTTAAAAAAAAAAGGAATAACAAAAAAGAACAATAATAAAATTATTTTTAATTATGTATATTTATAAAATGAATTTATTTATAAAAAAAACATTTTCTTATGAAATTTCTTGTAAAAAAAAAAACATAAAAATGCACAGCCTCGCACAAAAACACACAATATTAATATTTTAACGCGAAAAAGTTAAATTAAAAAAAAAAAAAAAAAAGAATATTTTAGGTAAAATCAAAAATGTGCAACGTTAATGTAAAATCATTTGACAAAAAAAAAAACAAAAAAAGGAATATATATATATATATATATATATATATATATATATATATATATATATATATATATATATAAAGAGTTTAAATTTGTGTTATATTAGTGTTTATTTATGTATTATATTATATATAACATGTGGTTTACCAAAATTAAAAACCGTATTTTACCTTTTAACTCACAAATGAATTTAAAAACTAAAAAAAAAAAAAACAACAACAAAAAAAAAAAACGCAGAAAATTCAAATTCAAAATATAAAATACTTGTTTATTTGCAAGTCCTGAGAACCAAATAGTTTCATAGGACTCGTTCCACGCAATAATTATAAAAACAATCGAATCAATTGCATTAAAAAATGAAAATATTAACGTCAAATAGTATTTTGACACGTCATCTTTTTTTATACAATTACATGCATTTTTATGAAAAAGTATTTATGTTGCATAACAATAGATCAAATCTAATTCCATGTTTACCCTGCAAAAGGTAACTTTTTGATTTATATAGAAAAAAAAAAAAAAAAAAAAAAAAAAATTTAAGACGTACTTTTTCGAAATAAAACTATGGATATATAAGAAACATCGTTTAGCTATTTATATCAATAAAGTTAAGAACGAAAAATTTAGAATTCTCATGTAAAACCTTTACGGTCTTTTTAAGAGGACTGCATAGAGTTGTAATTAGGGTTATTTTGCTGACTTTCAACAGAGGTGCTTCTTATTGGCACAGCAGACATATGTTGATACACTAAAAGTAAAAATAAATATTTGCACAGTTTGAATTTAATATGCTAGTTGAAAATAAAACAAATATTCAGTAGAATAAAAAAAACAAAACAAAAACAGGTTGTTAAAAAAAAATTGATAAAAAAACTCTTATAATTTTATGCCAATACAATAGTTCAAACTTCTTAAATATTTGCTTAACCTTCTTAATATTTGTTTAAACGGAGTTTGAGCAAATATTAAAGGAACAAGACAACTAATGCATAACGAAATTATTAAAAAAAAAACACATTAAAACACTAATAACACATGTACAAACAAAAGTCAATTCTTTGAGGAAATATTAATTTCTCAATTTTTATAATCTGCAAACAAAGCTATAAATTAACTTATTTACCGTGGTTTACAGAATAAGCTGTAACTTATTTAGTAAATAACGAATTTGAATTGAATAAATTCATGACATTCATCAAAGCTCACGATAATCAACCACTTAAATTTAAAAGTTTTAAAATTTGCGAACTCAAGGTTAAACCGTTTTTATTTAAATTTTGAAATATAATGTGCAAGGCACAAAAATTCACAAAAGTGGACATAAACAGAATGTTTTTAAAGTAATATCATATATATTTTTTAATTATATTACTTTTATTATCTAAACTTAAGTTTTATGTTGATTCACAAAGTTTCTTTTACAAAGATGTTATTATTTGATTCACAAATATCGTTTCTTTTACAAAGATGTTATTATTTGGAATCAGTTGCCATTATCATTAAGGATTAGGTTTAGTCGTCATGACAACAGAACCTATAAGTCTAGTAAGCCTGGTAAACATGCTGATTTTAAGCTGTTTAATTGTATTCAAACTTAGAGAACTAATTGCTTATAGCAATTGCTATTAGCTACCAGCTTTAAAAAACAAAATAGTTAGAAGACATAAATATTTAGAAGCCATTTCTAAGGTTCATTATTATTTTAATATTAGAATATCAGAGATTAGAGGATCGTGAAAAAAACTAACCTTTTTCCTTCAAACCTTTGTTAAAATTTTTAAAAATAAAATAAGACCAAACAAAGATGAGGGTACGAAGAAGCAACCCCAGTATACCTAAAAGTTAAATTAAAAAAAATAGTGCTATATAAAAATACAGCAAAAAAATAAAAAAATAAAAAAAAATGTGTTACCGGCAGCAAATATACAAAACAAAACAACATTTTGATTATTGTCATTTTTCTTTGCAGCATCTATTTGATTTGCAGTCTTAAGAAAAAAAGAAATTCATCCTAAATTAAAAAATCATAAGGCAAAAAAAAAAAAAAAAATAATAAAAAAAAAAATAAAAAAAAAAGCTTAAATAATTAAGCAACCTTGACAAACAACCAAATAATATAAGTTGGTTCCAGTAATCCAATGATCCAAAAAATGAAACTAACTTTAATATTCTCATAGCGAATCTACAAATAAAAATATAAACTGTCAGTTTTTGAAATTGATTAATTGCCATCCAAAAAAATCAAAATTTTTCCAATGATGACGAACATATAAATATTCAAACAAATTAAACATCCAACAACAGCAAAATAATTAAAACAACTCAAACAAAAAAACAATACAAACAACAAAACAACCAGTGATGTGCTATTAAAATTCTAAGAACCAACTCCTACATATTTACACCACTCCCCCTCATCCTAGTGAATGTATTTAAATATATGTTTTTTTTTGTACTACATGTTATAAAATTGCTTTATTAGAAAAAGATTCCAAATCACATTTTGGTAAGCAGTAAGTGGAATTGTTGTGGTGGGTCGTACTTTGTTATCATCAGTTGAATGGTGAATTCTGAGCCACCTTTTAACATATGGTGTAGCATCATACAAATTTAGCTGCAAGGTCATCAAATTAAAGCTCATCATCTAATTAAAGCTCATCATCTAATTCCATCAACATCATCAACAATTAAAGCTCATCATCTAATTCCACCCAATTCCATCTAATTTCTTCTAATTCCACTCTTGAATCTTATGGACATTCTCTTCCTTCCATTCCAGTCAAACAGGTTGACCCATTGTTAGACATTCAAATCACTCCGGCTTCTGTTGCTAAAGTCATATCTCAATTAAACTCGTCTACAGCTTGTGGTCCAGACAACAATCCTGTCACAGTCTTGCAGAATTGTTCTCCAGAACTTTCTTCAATTCTCTCTAAACTATTTAACAAGTGTTTGACTGAGTCTTGTTTTCCTGCTTGTTGGAAAATGGCATCTGTGGTTCCAATATTCAAAAACTCTGGAGAAAATTCTGACCCCTCCAATTACCGTCCGATCAGTCTTTCTGTTATTAGCATCTTTAGCATTATTATCTTTGAGTCTTTGATCAACAAATTCCTCACATCTCATCTTGAGTCAAATAAACTGCTGTCAGACAATCAATACGGTTTTCGATCCTCTCGCTCTACGGCCGACTTGCTAACTGCTGTAACTGAAAGATTTTATCGTGCATTAGATGGAGGCGGTGAGGCTAGGGCTATTGGTCTCGACATATCTAAAGCTTTCGACAAAGTTTGGCATGCTGGTCTTCTCCATAAGCTTGCTTCATATGGTGTTTCTGGGAAAGTTTTTGAGATTATCAAATCATTTCTTTCTAACCGGTTTATTAAAGTCATCCTTGAAGGCCAACACTCTTCTTTATTTCCAGTAACTTCTGGGGTTCCCCAAGGTTCCATCCTGGGCCCTGTTTTGTTTCTTATCTACATAAACGATCTTCCTGACAACCTTTCATCTAAAGTAGCTCTTTTTGCTGATGACTCAACTTTATACTCCTGTCTTGACAAAAAGTCTTCTCTTTTCGATCGCCTAGAACAAGCAGCTGATCTTGAATCTGATCTCACTTCAGTAATAGATTGGGGTTCACAGTGGCTTGTGAATTTCAACTCTAAAAAAACCCAATTGCTTACTGCAAACAACTACCGTAATATGGTCAACATTCATATATTAATGAATGGCAATCCTCTTACTGAGTCCTCCTCTTTACGTCTTCTTGGATTATCACTTACTACTGACCTTTCATGGAAACCATATATACAATCGATTGCTAAATTAGCTTCTGCTAAGGTTGCTTCTCTTTATCGTGCTCGCCATTTCCTTACTTCTGATTCCATTCTCTACCTCTACAAATCTCTTATTCGTCCCTGTATGGAATACTGTTGTCATATTTGGGCTGGTTCTTCTAACGATTCACTTTCTCTTCTTGACAAGGTCCAAAAATGCATTGTAAATGTTGTTGGACCTGGACTATCTGCTAAGCTTGAACCTCTTTCCCATCGTCGTAAAGTTGCATCTCTTTCTCTTTTCTACAAATACTATCATGGTCACTGCTCAAAGGAGTTATCATCTCTAGTTCCATCAACTAAAATTCATTCTCGTTTTACTCGTCATTCAGCTAAGTCTCATTCGTTTACTGTATGCTCTGCATGCTCTAAAAACTTTTATTCATCTAGTTTTTTTCCCCGCACTTCAATCCTTTGGAACTCTCTCCCATCTTCATGTTTTCCTGACTTCTACAACCTTCAACTTTTCAAATCTTCTGTCAACCGTTTCCTTGCTCTATAACTCTGTTCTTTTTTTTCCTAGTAACTCCCAAATTGATAGTGGTTGCTTGCAGCCTTGTTGGGAGTGAATGCAAATAAAAAAAAAAAAAAAAAAATCTGAATTGTGTCTTAAATACTTCATTTTGATCTTAAATTGATTTAAATCATTAAATCATGTCTTAAATTTTTTTTTTTTTTGATGCATTTGGTATTCACAAGTGAAAAATCACATACAGCCTGTGTGAAACGTAAATTGTGTTGATTGAATGTATTTCCATTGTCTTGATGATCTCTTAAAATATTGTCAACATCTTAAGAATTTTGCTTAGAGTTCTAACTTTTCTCCTGCTTGCCATAGATTAATAATTTCATTTCCGAGTATTTGGTTTAAAAGTATAACTAAGGCAAAAATTTGTTTACTGTTTTATGTTAAATTATCATAGATTTTTACATTTTTGTCTCAGAATTCATAAACTGGAGTGTCAAATTTTTACCAAACTTTTAATTTTTTTCAAAAAAAACTATTTCAACTTTTTACAAGGAAAATTTCAATATAATGCATTGTCTTGAAAATTAATATTTTTATAGATATCAATTCTAGGTATCATTTTTTTTATAGATATCATTTTAAAAGGTATCATTTTAATAGGTATCATTTTTATAAGTATCAATTATAGGCTTGAGAGAAAAGTTCTGGACTAGAGAGCTTTGGCCAAAAATAATATTTCACCTAAAATATCTATAATCAGCACAAAGTTTCATAAGAAACATTTTGAGACGTGATGCCATTCCAGAGTATTTATTGTTTTTTGAAATATATTTGTACAATGCAGGGTAAGAAAACCAGACAGCACAAGGTCCTCACAAACTGTAAACAGCTTGGTCCCAAAACTTATTTTTAACATTGCTTCTTTAAGTCATTAGAAATATTTGAATTCTTTCTGACTTTTGTTTGAATAGTGGCATATTGCATACATTTTTTCAATAAATTTTTTGAAATGATTTTTTTGCCTAATGTCTTTTTTGAAATCATTTAAAGCATTTGAAACAAAATCCTATTTATTTAAAATATTCTTTAGTTCAAAAAAGCTCAATTCTCTGAGTACTTCATTGTAAATTGTTGAGCTTCTATCAAATTTAACAAAAAAAAAAAAAAAAAAAAAAAAAAAAAAAAAAAAAAAAAAAAGGGAAGAATGTCATTTGTCAAGTCAAGCTTCTACTTTAAAAAATATGACTAACTTACTAGAAACAGTTCAAGCCTCATTGAATAACTTACTAGAAACAGTTCAAGCCTCATTGAATAATAGATAAGTAATTTGAAATTTTTCCAAGGAATACTTAAAAAATATATCTTTTTATTCACTTGAAATTTATTCGACAACTCTGATTGTAAAATATTGTTAATTTATTAGACTCTTAGATGTATTTCATTTATTCATATGAACAAGAGTTCTACTTCTTTTTGATATGCTTTATATTGTTCCTGAGCAGTAAAAATATCCCAGTTTTTTATCATTTGTGAAAAAGCCATCATTTTCTATTTTGAATAACTAATGCTGCATTTTATTCTAACAATCAGAAAAACTTTTTTCATGAATATCAAATGGTTTTGGCATTAACTCTGTGAGAACAATATTAGAATATCAAATGGTTTTGGCATTAACTCTGTGAAAACAATATTTGAATATCAAATGATTTTGGTACTAACTCTGTGAGAACATTATTTGAATATCAAATGGTATTTGCATTAACTCTGTGAGAACAATATTTGATCATTGCTGCTCACTTAAGTTTGAATTTTCACTTTCCTTAAAAAGAATGCAGAAACTAAACTTTGTAATTAGCACTTCATTCTTGTGCTAAAAATAAAAAAATTTAAAACTTTTATCACTTGAAATTAGTAATTAAATTATAAAGATTAGATATATTTAGCATCACTAAAAACAACTCAAACAACAAAACAACAAGCAGCAAAACATCCAACAAATCAAACAACAAATACATCAAACTTTGTTAAATAAAACCAAAATCATAGAAACAATAACATTAAATATGAAATCAGAAAGATGCAACTTTAGTCTTGCATTAACTTTGAAAAATTTTCATCTATGGTGCAATAGTCTTAAAGGTTTAGATTGAGAGAGTTAAAAAAGAAATTATCATTATTAACATATAATAACTATATTAAAAATATTGTAATTAAAAAAAAATAACTTACCATAAGAAACCCTAAAATCATCCAGAAGAAACTAATTGGTACTCCTACACCCAGAACAGCTTTTTCTCCCTTTGTAAGTGAGTGACTAACATTCAAAATCAAAACTAGCAAGCTTATCTAAAAATAATGTTGAGGTTAATAAAAAAAAAATTCAATGTTTAAAAAGATAAAAAACGTTCTTGTATAAAGCGATTCTACAAATAAAATAAGGGGGGGTGGGTGGGTGGGGGGTGGTGGGACAATCCATAAAAAGTACTGACTAGTTCCTTAAAAAAAAAAGTTCTCAAAACAAAAATTGACCCGACTGAATTGTGTCAAATACCCGACTAGCCAACTAGAAAATCATCTTCGGGGGGAGGGGGCTGGGTGGAAATTGCCTCTGACTGTAATACTTAAATCAACTTTATTCATTAAAAATAAATAACAACCAATATATCTTTTTTTTCTGTTTAATAAATCTATATATATATATATATATATATATATATATATATATATATATATATATATATATATATATATATATATATATATATATATATATATATATATATTCAGTTTATTTCTGCTCAATGGCAGAAAAATACTGAATGTGAAACATTTATAAATGCATAGTATCATCCCAAAACACATCCCAAAACACATTGGCTAAATGTATATTGGTCTAATAAAGAACCATTAAAAAAAAATACCACAAATAACCATAATCACAAACAAAAAAAAACAACAACAAAAAAATATTATATATAAAATATATATATTAATATAAAATTATATATACAAAATTAAATATAATATTATATTCCTAATACTTCAAAAGTGATACAAAAAATTGTCTTATAGACAACTACAGTTCTTATAAACATGAAAGTATGTCAAAAACTATATAAATCTATATAAATCACAATTAAAAAAAAAATGTAACAAACCAATAAAGCACAAATACTCAACACCATTGAGAATCTCCAAAGTTAAATGAAATTTATAATGATTTTTTTTTACTAAACTATTGAATTACTAAACCAATTGAAACTATAATAATAATATGATAACTCAACTATATACTTAAATATAATAATAACGACTTTTATGATTTTTTTAGTAATATTCAGAATTACTAAACTTGAAACAATAATTACTAACAATAATAATAATAATTACTGAAAACATTTATATTGTGGTTTTCAAGAAAAAGTACATACAGTTAAGCAATCAAAAATGAGAAAACAAAATATTTATGAAAAAATAACACTAAATTTTTAAAAAGCCTACAAATCATCTATTCATGATATTAAAAAACTCATATGGATGACACAATCCAAAAGATTTTCATTTTACTTTTTAAGATTTTTCATTCAAGATTAATGAATTGCAAAAAGTCTCAAAAAGATAAGACAAAATAAAAAAAAATTTAAAGAAGGGAAGAAATAACTCTAAATAAAAATAATATTAATAAATAATTTCAAACAATTTGTTATATTAAAAAAGTCAACTTTAAAACTTTTTTTCCAAGTTCTTGAATTTGTTTAGTTTTGCTACCCCCCTTTTTTTTTTAATTCTTTTATACTCCCTTTATTAATGAAACTCAGATTTTTTTCTCTGCAAGTTCTATCGACTCTGCAACTTTATTTCTCTTTATTGCAATAGCAATCTTGACTTTTTGATTTTATAGCTTTTATAGTTGTAATGCTTTTTGCTCCTGTTCTGTTTTCTCTTTCAATTTTTTAGTGTTATCCAACGTAATTGTATTTCGATAATCTTGGATGGTTCACAACCATGTCGATTATCTTACTGAAATTGTGACTAATTGTCTTGGAAAAATCTGATCATCCTGAGCAAGCAAGTTTATGTTTCAATTTGGTCTTGTACTAAATAAGTAGTTACCCTAATGCAAAGAAATTAAAGGGATAGACAAAAGAACCAGTGACTGAGTTGTAGTCCTTACTAATTTCTGAATTATCATGTAAATTATAATAAGCAGCATTCAAAGCATTTTTTAGATTCCATCCTCCACAATTTTTAAACTGCCACAGAATGCAAACTGCAAGATTCAATGTTAAAAGAGAATGTAAAATAGTTTCAGTCAAGCTGGAATTCATTTAAAAATTTTAGATTAGGGTTTTAACTATCCATTGATATTTGGTATAGCTTTGGCAGTTCCAATTTTTAATGATATTGCTGAAGTGAGTTCACTTCATCTGTAATAGGTCTTGATGTGTTATATGATCTAAGTAACTTTATACAAAATAATAAACACAGTTATGATTTACATCCCAGTATCTGATATAAATATTCTTATTTTTATTTACTTACTGATAAATATTCAGTTTAGAAGTTTGGGTGATCTATTTTAGACTTTCATTAAAAAGAATAGTAATAGATATCTGACAGTTTTAAGGTTCATACTAAAACTGACCTGTGGCAAATATCTCGCTTTAATATCATCTTTATGAGCGTTCTATAAAGTTATCATCACTCAATCAGCCTAATTCTTATCTAAATATAAAATATAAAATATTTATATCTATATAAAACTAAAAACTAAATATGTATTGATAGCAAGATTTTAATTAAATAAATTAATTCCGAAAAGGACCATAAAAGCATTTTATGAATTTATAGCTTGATCTGTTTTCAAATTCTTCTTATATTATTTACTAGATCATAACTTAGTTGACTATTAAATCCCCTATTTGTCGTGAAATCAGGTTCGAATCCTTTGACCATTCTTTTATGTGCTTTTACATAGCACCTCTTCACTCTACCACCTTTCTCTATGTTCTTTATTATGACTTATACAACCTTCAACTTTTCAAGTCTTCTGTCAACCGTTTCCTTGCTCTATAACTCTGTTCTTTTTTTTCCTAGTAACTCCCAACTTAATAGTGGTTGCTTGCAGCCTTGTTGGGAGTGAATGCAAAAAAAAAAAAAAAAAAAAAAAAAAAAAAAAAAAAAAAAAAAAAAAAAAACTAAAGATTTATTACAATGTTTCATGCCAACCGGGCCTACTGTCAAAGATAAAAATAATCAAAAGGAGTGACTATATGGTGCTGAATTTGTTAGGTAAAAGCTATCAGACTTATCAAGACAATAAAAATGTCTGAATGATGATCGCATGTGCAAATACTAATGCGGCAAGGACAGTCAACTTTTTGTTCTATTATTCCAATCATATCAAACATTAACTAGGAAAATTCATTAACTAAATTATTGATAAATTTTGAAAATTTAAGATTGCAGCAGCATTTTTTTCTTCTTTTCTTCAAGTGCCATCATCCAACAGGGATAAAAGGAATTAGATTTAAGTCTAGATATCATATTTTCGAATATAGATTTAAAAAAGGCATCTAAGACAAATGGTTCAGCACATACTGCTTTATACTAATGTATTTAATAAATAGCAGTTACTATGAAATGAGATTGTACACAAAATCAAACTGCTCAAACAAGTTTTTAAAATGTTTAAACAAAGAATTATCAGAAGTTTGTTAATAAGTTCAAAAGGCGTAGTTTTCGAAGTATGCAATTCCTAACTTAGAACATGATGTCTGGAAGCTTATAAAATCAGATATTTATCTAGCGAAATAATATTCTTATTAAAGATCCTTATTTTACACTTGTATTGCTTGATGTTGTATCCAAAAAATGTAATCCAATTTTTTATTAAAAACTAACTCTTTTATTTAAGAATTTTATTATTGTGGTTGTACTGATTCTCTCCTGATATAGAGGTTAATAGCTTAACACCAAGAAGGTGTGACTCCTTTTTAATGGTTGCCAGAATAGCTAGTTTGTCATACCTTAGTTTTTTTCCAAATGTATAATTCATAAATAGAAAGAAGCTTGGATGCTAAGTTTAACATTTTCTTTAGCAACAACTGCCTTTTCCTGAACTGTTTTTTTTTCATCTTTTTATATGTTGTTGACCTGCTGCAACTTACATTTGTAAGATCAAACCAAAAATCAAGAATTTTGGAAGTATATCCAGTAGTAAAACTTGCTTCAAACTACCCATAATATTATATGCATTAGAAATGGACAATTTAAAAAAGCTCCTTGAATACATTAACATCCCCAAATTTTCCAAAGGTTCCAAACTTGGTTCTAACACTTTTGGTTCCAAAACTTGTGTGGCTTAGTTGATTTTCCAAATTATCAATTCTTAATGCAAATGAAAGTATGAGTAGTTTGAAACAGATTTGAAAAAAATTGAAACAAAAAAACAAAGAACACCAACAACCAGGGTTAAAATTTGAATCAAAAGATGAACCTTTGCTGGTGTCTGGATTAAATTCTTTGGACTAAATTTTTATAAAAATTTTGAGTTTATTTCTACTGATTTTTCTTTCTATATGGCTTTCTTTTTTTTTATTCTACAAAATTTAAATAACTGCATTATATACTCTGAATTCATCAATTCAAAAAAACTATATACTCCAACATGCATTTTATAATACTGACTCCGATTCGGAGTCAGTATTAAAAAAATTTCATTGATTTTTATTATTTCTTAATAAAAAGTAATTTTAAATTTCTTCTCTAAAGTTGATCAAACTATAAAAATTTAAAAAAAGTTAAAAGTTGCAATAACACAAGAAATAAAGATTTCATATCACCATTAAACTGTATTTATTTATAAACATTTTACTTATTAAAATTTTTAGATTGCATATTTAAAAAAATGTTTAATTTTTATTAAACACATAAGAAAAATTTAAAGTTGGAAAAAATTAAATAATGAGCAAAGATAAAAATCTGTATTCTACTTGGAGTTTTAGCACAAGCTATAAACAATGAATTGGTTTTATTACATATAATATATTACAGTTGACAAGTGAGCTACTCAATTTAAATATGGTAGAGTTTCAACAATGATTACCATTCAAGACACCCTAAAACCTAATATTGAATGAGTGCATGAGACATCATATACAATCAATGAAATCTTGACAACACACATTTTGAAAAATCATATTGGATACCTTGTGATGGATACCTTGTGATGGATACCATGTGATGGATACCTTGTGATGGATACCATGTGATGAATACCATGTGATGGATACCTTGTGATGGATACCATGTGATGGATACCTTGTGATGGATACCTTGTGATG